AATGAAATAAATAAGAAACTGTAATAAAATTAAAAAAAAATAAAATGAAATAAATAAGAAACTGTAATAAAATTAAAAAAAAATAAAATAAGAAATTGTAATAAAATTAAAAAAATTTAAATTAAATAAAAAAATAAAAAAAGTAAAATATGAAAAAAAATAATAAATAATAAAATAAAATATAAAATAATAAAAAAATGTATGAATATATTTAAGAACAATCTCAAATTGCCGTTATTAAATTTTTTCTGTATATATATTAATTTAATATCGAAGTAATAATAAAAACAATGTCAATATGCAAGTAATATATGCAAAACTATTGAATCAAAATGTGCACTATTCTTTATTTGCTTCGAAAAATTAATAAACTTAGTAATATAAAACGAATTTTAAACGAATTTAAATTTGTAATTCATTTTTGTTTATGTAGGTCACTACTTACAAAATTCAAAATATATTGATAACGCTGATCACCACTTTGCTTGCGGCTTACAATTTTTTTTTTGTTACAATTTTACAACATAAATTACACTCTTTCTTCATTTTGCTGACGACAGTCGCCCGCATTTACGCCACTCTCATAATGCATGGAATATTATTATGAACTCTTACCTTTTCTACAAGATAACACGCGTCAACTCATCGATCAGTACTTGATAACAAAATATATAAATAAGTTAGCGTCATTTGTTTGCTTTCATATGATTTTTTTACCCATTCTCATTGGAAACTCTGTAATCTAGCATTAGAGCGCAGCTCAACTATATTACAACCCTAAAGTGCCGTTTCAGACAGGGATGCAAAAGAGTCTGATCTTTTTCAAATTTTCTTTTGGTGTCGCTCTGGGCATTCACACGGTCAAAAAGAGTCCAGCAACTCGAGTCTAGTTTTTCTGCATTCCTTTTCACAAAATGTTCGTAAATATTTGTGCGGTTCGACTGCGCAACACCGCGCAACACTGCATGCTGCGTATTTCATTTGTATGTTGAGATGATGGTCACACATTTTGCTTGCAATGAATTACCATGAATATGGTAGAACAATATGCATAATACAAGTACCTACCCGCTAAATAGTTTCAAAAAAATACTAAAGACGGGAATTCCCTAATCCACAAGAATGTATTGAATATCCGCAACTAATATTTTCAAGGCCAAATTTATAATAGCAATTTCCTAACCTTTAAGTATTAAAAACTCATAATTTCTTTACTGCGTATTAAAAATTCATAATTTCTTTACTCCATAATCTATATCTTAATTTTCTCCTTATTTACAATTTGTCATAATATTTCTATTATTCTATGCATACATATTTGCATATTACATACAAAAATAGATAACAGAACTCAAATTTGCGATCGAATTCATTTGAAACCGAGCGCTCTTGCAACCATTCAAAGGATTTGAAAGTGAAAAGGAATGCTGAAAAGGGTAGCAGCGAGCTGTTACGAACAAGAACACAAAGCGTGCCACCCGAACACGAGTGGCACGGTCCCTTCGTCTTTCCTCGTCGTCCCCTCGCCCACAATAAACTGGTATGAGACTCTTTTGCGTCCCTGTCTGAAACGGCACAAACTGCGAAAACAGCCGTTATATTATGCTCATTTCATATAGTTTGTGCAGTGTGTACCTCATGCACCATCACTAATACAAATGCATCGACAGGGAGAAAGTTAAGTGGCTATGTAGGGAAAACTGAGGAAGGTGGGTTGTTAAAGAAATTCGAAGCAAATGTTGAAGAACACTTAATATAAAACTGAAATGAAAATTGTTGTTGTAGCAGCGTAAAATATTCCCAAAGATTTGTAGGGCATGTCGATATCTTATAAATCGAGGTCTGATCAAATGCGTTATTCACCCAAGGACTGTCAACTCGGCAGTATTCCTCCAAATCACTTGAGGTATGTTTCTTGTCGCTACAACAACAACTGCTCTCACCAAATGCCATAGAACTATAGTCAGTCAATAATTTCGAATTTGGAAAAAATTTCCTTGTTTCTGCTATAGAAAAACCGTATCATAAGAAACGTTAACGTCTTTATTTGTTTACTTTAAACGTTATTTCTAAATTGAAAAATATTATTGTTATTAACCTTTAAGAACGTCACGGCAAAGTGACTAGAGAAACAGTGAGAAAAAGTCACCTTTTGTTTTTGTAGAATACATTATGCTATAATAACAAAAACATGCGAAAAAATTTAAAACAATTATTTCATAAGAAATATTTCTTAACAAAAATACGTAAACAATAGCTAGAAGAAAAAGGGAAAGGGGGAAGTGTAGTTTTATAAACTCACAATAATAATGCATTCTATTCTGTATAGGTAAAGACAAAGTTTCGGTATTTATTATAACAATAATATATTGTTAAAGCCTAAAACTTCGAACTTTTGTACTAGTCTAAATTTCCATATTGAAAGAAGTTTTGGAACCTATAATCCAAGCTTAAAATAGAGGCTATAATAGTCATTGCGGATGGAAAAGAGACGTTTCGAAATTTCGAAAACCTTTTATTTCTTCGTTGGATTACAAATAATTAATATAATACTTTGAAACTTAATTCGAATTGAGATTATAAGCTATCCGGATGGAATATTGAAACTTCGAATTTACGAAAACCTCGTATTCCTCCATCAAATTACAAATATTTATACTTCAAAACTAAATTCGAATATATAATTATATAAAATTTGAAACTTCGAATTTTCGAACTAGTCAAAATTTCAATATTGAAAGAAATTTTGTAAACTACATCTAATCTAAGTTTAAAATAGAGGCAATATTACAGGCTGTACGTATGAAAAAGAGTTGCTTCGAAATTTCGAAAACCTTATATTCATCCGTCAGATTACAATTATAATTAATAATGCGAATATTCGAACTTAATTCGACCATTCAAATATAATTCGAAAATTCAAAATTAATTTAAATTTAATTTAATATTCGAAATTAATTCTAATTTAATTTAACATTCGAAATTAATTCTAATTTAATTTAATATTCGAAATTTTCTCATTGGAGTGTACAAAGGGGAATGTACACACGTACACAGTAAATATGTACATATGTATGTCGAAAAATTTCCTACATGTTCGGCCGATATTATCATCAAATTGAATGTGTTTTATAAATAATGAGTTTTTTTAATTGCTTTCAAACAGCTTGTAGATTTTAATTATATCTTTTTTCTACTACCTGGAAATATCTATATCCGCAGGTTTGACATAACCGGGATCGAGACTCAAACTCACCATCGATTGGCAATCGCAATTCATGTTCTCGTGCGCTTTGCTTATTTCGAAACCCAATTTGGCGAGAGTTATTATGATAGGTATTGCATTTTAATGTGTCGTCATTGAAATAGATAACTTATGACACTAGTACATACAAAACCTCCCCCCTTTGATAAGTATTGATAACTATTGCAAAGTAGAATTGATAATTTATTTGAGCAAACATTTCCCTGCAGGGGCGCACAATACAATGCAATATTATCAATCCTCCACCTCTCTTGCACACGAGTCAACACACACACACACATATGCACATATAGTAAATTGTCGAGGAAAACTCTGTCGGCAACGACATCTGTTCTTTGCTTGTGTCTGAAATTTTCCACACACACACAGTTGTACGCTTTTATTTATGCATGTATGTGTGCAACTATAGAATTTCACTCGCTCGTGAAAATTTTTGCTCTGCTGCCGCTGTCGTTTTTGTTGCTCTGCGTTTACGAGCGTTTGTTTGCACATTGTTGCAGTGTGGCTATCGTGTTGCTCGAGCGCCGAGTTGTGAGCGCACACGCTTCAGGAGGCAACATTCGTACATTGAATTTTCAGTTGCGTTCTTTCTTTCGGTTTAATTAGACGTTTCGTTTGTGTTTGCTACATTCGTTCGCGCGTCCGCATGTTCTTAATATACATATATACACATAATTGTAGAGATATGTAGTAGCAATCGCATATATACATCACACTATATAAAATCGTATGTACGTCGCGTTTTTTTTTTGTTTTTTGTGTTTGATTTGAATACATTGTTCGCGAATCATTAAAGTAGAATTTTTGAAAATTTCTTATGTTTTTATGTCGTTCGAGTTTTATTATTGCTCCTGTAAATGTCTTTGTTTTTATGATTGCCCAAAATTTTATTGCTTGGCAATTTTGAATTTCATCTCTTGAATGATGCCGCTGGCTGGCGGCTAAAAGTGCGCCTAGTGTCGCTCAAATCACACCAATTAATATACTATGTATGAATGAAACCAACGTGAAAAGCGCGTGGAAAGTGTTGGAAAAAATTAAAAAATAAAACAACAAAAATTTGTGAAAAAAAAAGAAAATCGAAAAATTAACTTTTATAAAAATAACACAGCTGCAGCAATAGTCGCTGGACTCAACGTCGCACAAGTGAAATACAAATTTCGTAAATACATACACATACTTGTATGTTTGTGTGTAAGTTTGTGTAAAGAAAATATAAAAATTAATTCCGCTTTTAAATTATCAGCGGGCAAGTAAGAAAAATACCAAAAAACAACAAATATAAGCTCGGTGCTCAGCAAGTGACAAGAAGAATTGAAAACTGATGCTTTCTTGACCTCCCCTTTTGCTGAGCACGCTATAGTGCATGTGTGTATGTGTGTACGAGTTGGGAGCGTATGATGGATAGACAAATGGTTGAACGTTTGGATGCTGTGCGATAGCAAGGGCACGTACATAGCTACATACATACATACATTCATATGTATCTAAAGGGGTTGCTAAATTTAGTTTTTTTATATGAAATTAATCACAACAACACTGTCAGCATTTAGTGCTACTGAATTATAAAATGCTGTGGTTTTTCAAAATGTGATTTTAAGAAGTTGCAAAATCGGCATAATTTTTATTACGCAGCCACTCTACGCGATTGCTGATTTCTTTAATGCATATATACTATACTTATGTACGTATGTATGTATATAATATAGTTCTTGTATTGACACTTGACGCGATTTTGTAAACATCATTGCACATGTAGTTATGTGTATGTAAATTTATATATGTATGTACATATGTGCTTTTGCATTTATTCGCTCATATCATTTATTGTTTTCTTATTCATTTAATAAATATTAATGCTAAATATATGCATTTATTATTGCAAGTTGACGATACCCTTCACAGGTGCATTTCTTATAGCACTAAAGTGTATATAAAAATCTTTAATTTGATTTTGATCGGTCAGTTTGTATGGCAACTATATGTTATAAACTAGCAATATGTGTAGCCATTAATAAACTTTTTGTTTTTACATATACATTCTTATATAATAAAAATTATTGAAATTTCTTTTTTGGCAGATATTGATTGATACCACTTGTTGATTTTTTTAGTGTATTAATATGTATTCAATTATATAAACTCACTCAATATTCCAAAAAAAATTTTTTTTTGGTGTTTTTCTGCCATTTTTGACTTAAATAATGGTTTATTGCGATTTCGAATGACATCCCCTAAAATGCTTATTTGTTAACCATGCCACTACAATTTTTTGCTGTCAGTCCCCAAATGACAGTTCTTAGTTGTTATTATAACAGTAAAATCTCAAAACGACTTGTTCTAAAGCGTCATACATTTTCGATCTTTAGTTGATTATCAATCCAAGTAGTTTAAAGTAAAAAAGTTCTTAGCATTTTAAGATCTCTATGTATATCTGTATAACTCAAAATTCCATTAATTTCCTGTATCTCCCTCTATCGCATAGTGCCTTAATGTCTCAAAGTTGGTTAAGTAAAATTCAAATATACATCACGCTTTTATTTATACCCAATTTTTGATTGAATCGTATGTGTTTCTATTCGTAATCATGTTAACGTCACTTCAGGGAACTGAAGTTCGGAGTTCATGCATTTCTTTGATAATTTAAATTGTTTATAAGAGATTGACTGATAATATGTATTATGAATAAATATTCCAGAGATGCTATGAATACTTGTAGTACAAATAAATATATTTTAACATACAAAGTATTTTCTACTTATAAAACACTTAATAAACGAAAATGTATTATTGATTCGATGATAATCAAAGGTGTTTAACAATAATATTGTCTATTTTTCCCATTGAGCTTTAATAATTCTTGTACAGAGACGCTTTAATCTTAAATTAAGAGTATTCGGATTTCAGTCGTTTAGTATTCGCAAAAAAGCTTCTAATACTCCCTCAATTGAAGGATTAAAATCCAATTAGAGGGTTGACAACGCTTCAGAAGGCGCTCATGTTGTTAAAAAAAAACTCAAAGAGAAATTTTCGGTCTCGATACGGTCTCGTAGGCCAGTTAAAGCATCGAGCAACCGATTTTCACTTGTAAAGTCTCTTCAGGATTTAATATAATATATATTGAGCCAGAAAACGCCGAAGACCCTATAAAAATATATATATAAATGATTAGCATGACGTGCTGCTTCGATTTAGCCACGTTCGTCTGTTTGTCTGTATATACGCGAACTAGTTCTTTAGTTTTTGAGATATCGATCTGAAATTTTGCACATGTCCTTTTCTCCCCAAGACACTTGTCGAAACCGCTGTTATCGGACTACTATAGCATATAGCTGTCGTACAAACTGATCGATCAATTCCAAGTTTTTGTATGGAAAACTATTTTATTTGACGAGATATCTACACGAAATTTGACATAGTAACGGTACAATAGTCGAAAAATTTTTTTTAGCATACACCTAGCTGTCATACAAACTGACCGATCAAAATCAAGTTATGGAAAACTTTTTTATTTGACGAGATATCTTCATTTCGACACTGATTAATGTTTAAGGTAACGGTACAATCTTCGAAAAAATTGTTCAGATCGCACTAATATAGCATATAGTTGACATATAATTAACTGAGCGCCTGTAATTGTGAAGGGTATTATAACTTCAGTGCAATCGAAATCAATGTTTCTTGTTTTTTTTTTTTGTTTTTACACATTTTCTTTATTCACTAATTTTTTAATCATTTATCATGCTACTTTTCCGCGTATCCCTGCATTCCCTTATAAATACTCATTCTGCGGTTGTAATTTATTTCAATTAAATTTGATTAACGTATCGGCCAGACTTTAAAGAGTGAAGAAAGTAAAGCAAAAAAGTGAAGTCAAGTAAATTTAAAAAAAACTAAAGTTACATATGTACATACAATGGTATCTGCATAAATATGTATTATATTTACATTTCTGCACACACACATAGTTGCTATGTATAAAAATGTTTATGTTAGTAAAAAATGAGAGTACTAGTTAGCGGAGCAATAACAGAGCAAAGTGCCAACAGCAGCCACTGCACATGCTCAAAGCGTCGCCCGAGGGCAGACAGCCCCTTATTGAGCTACTGAACTCTGGGTGAATGCTGGTTGTGTTTATATACATATTTAGTTTTTCACTGCTGTTACTCTTATATACTGCGCTTACAAAAATTTCTGTGTAGAATGTAGTCAAAAGGAAACTCTCAAAGTTATGAAAATTTACATATTGCATGCTGAACACATACATATATACAAGGAAAATATTTTGTAAACAAAGCGTTTATTTAAACAAATTACTACATATACATATATGTATGTATAATATGTATGTATGTATGTATGTATGTATGTAATTATGTGAGCAAACAGCGGCACATGCCTGCATTTGTCGAACTACGAATAATATTTGAAGGCCATAATTTTCTTTATAAAGAAATGAGAGCATCGCCGCCACCGCCGCATCCTGGCTGGTCCAACGTCACACATACATGTGTACATATGTATATACACACCAATATTCGATTGCCTTTATGATATTTTTTTTTGCAGTTCCTCAATCTTCAATACTTTTAGTTTATATTATGGCTTTGTTCTTTTTTTCCGCTGTACTCTTTGTCTTTGTATTACTTATTATTTGCCTTTTGTTTTGTTTGTGTTGTTGTACCTTTTAAATGTATCTTTTAGTTAGCAAAGGTTAGCTTAGCTGTGTTCAACGTTTGCTCCTTGAAATTTGCTTGGCACAAATATGTTTTTCATCTCATCTTACTTGTTGTTGTTTGCTTCTTTAGCGCTTTGTTGTTGTTGCATGCATTTGTGTTGTTTTGCGTATGCGCTTGAACTTTTTTTAATTGTTTTCCTCATTTTTTCGACGCTTAGCTCTTTGTATGTGTGTGTGTGCTACCTGCGCTTGAAATCTGACCACAAATATATTGTTTCTTTTGTAAACAACAACAATACATATTTACATAGCACTTCTGTACGTGACACCAAGAGATGCACTTTTTTTTTTTTGAAGAGCTCGTGTGTGTTGTCAGGGGTGGTTATTTTTGTAGAAAAGAAGACAAAAATTATAATGAAAATGCTAATGATTTGGTCAAGTAGTAATTTCCTTCCGCTTTCCATGTCACATTCATACATTTATACGTAGCTCTCTACCATGGAACATACACGGAAGTTAAGTAATATGCTTACAAGCCTAACTATCTACCTAAGTACAATAGTACAACTTATGCATAATTTTATATAAATTATGTTTACTCGTACCTATAATTACATAAGAAGTCTTGTATGCGACAAGTGGACAGACTTTCTTTTGCCTTTTTTGACAAAAAAAAAAGAACGTGAGAAAGTTTTCTCTGTTGGGAATTGTAAGTTTTATTATTTCATAATTAATCCTTCTCAGTCTGACTATTTGTAAATGAAGCCGATATACATAAAATATTAAAAACTCAAAACTTTAAAACTGTAATCGAACACCTTCAGGTGTTGGCAAAACTTTATATTAAACTGTGCAAAGTGTTGTTCTGTTGAATATGAAATGGAAAATAAAAGAATGAGCTTAAAGTTTGTTGAATGAGAAGTAGACGTGACGTATGTTTGTGTAATCTCACACACCAAATTTTGTTGAAATCGCTCAAATAGTTCCTGAGATATAGGATTTCACCTAAAGTTGGGCGGTGCCACGCCCATTGATCAATTTCTACAACATATGCTATAAAGTCTTTTTGTACCACTCAAGCAAATTTGAAAATGTAGTTATGAGAGAACCGCGTTCAATGAAAAGCTGATAGAGCTGCCTGAATGCTGTAACTCAAAAACTATTTGAGATATTGATGTAAAATTTTAGTATGTTATTTTTAAAGGTATAACCTATCGAAATGCATATTAAAAAATAAAACGATTTTTTTTTTAATTTTTCACTTTATTTCACCCCTTAAACTCTGAATTTATCACTTTGAATAATGACTTCATTAAGGACCTTTTTTGTATGCCAATATGTTTAAAATTTTCCAAACATTTTTTATTACTTTATTATATGCCATCTGTGCTTCGTAAGGTAGGCCCAAAAGTCCTGTTTCTCGTATAATCTCTTTCTGAGACCTCTTGCTTAAGCTTATTTAGTCGCCTGCTCTATACAATTTCTCTAAATAAAATATTACTTGCAAGCAGGCACTTTTGAGCTTTTAAATAATTGGCTGGAAGAAGTAGTAGATGGAAAGTCGATAAGATAGGAAATTTGTAGTTCAATTATTGAATTTAAGGAGATGAATTTATTGAAGGTTATTTCTATCTATTGAAGAAATTACTAAAAGAGCTTGAAAACGTTTCTACATTCGTTACATTAATCGTTCCAACTCTAATATTTTTCATTTTCCAAACTTTTTTGACGCGCAGAATTGAAATCGGACATTTGACTATTTAAATTATGACTATATAAATTATGTTTATCTTATCTTTTATAATGTAATTAGTTCCACACTTCCTTCTAACAAATACCGCCTCCATTGCACATTTATATTTGTTATTAAATTTTTGTTCTTCATACATCTATATAAATATATATCTAAGTATTTTACTGTCTGTGATTTAATTTAATATTTGTGTGCGGTGACAATACCCAAGTCAAGTCCAGTCAGTAAGCTGCAGTAGAGCTTATGGAATTTGTTGTCTGCTTCAACTTTCTTGCTCACTCTTTTGCCCACTTGCGAATATGAATGTGCAAATTCCAAGGAAATTTGGGCAATTACGAATGTATATAAGAATTTAAGTGCGTTAAATGAGTAAAGTGAAAATAAAGAGTGGAGACGTTACGGGGAACTGCCGCACATTATGAGTTCATAAGTTTGATTCGTTTATTTAATTAAAGAATAACACTTTGAAAGAACTGAAGTAGTAAGAATGAGTGCTAGGAAGTTGAAATGCTTGTATAATAGATACATATGCTTGAAAATAATAGTTTGATCATTCTGATTAAGAATGTTGTAGGGTAGGAGGTCTGCAATAATTATCGCACAAATTATGTGGTCATTGAATCGGCAAATGCAGACCTCAAAAAAAAAATTCATTCAATAATTCATTGTCATAATGTATGGTATACGACTTGGCTGCCTTAGGTGTGAGACTTTGATACGTTAGCTGCTTAAATATTTAGCATTAATTGAATGAAACTGCAGTCTATACACAATTTAATATGCGTTTTTTCTATTTCTTCATTACAAAAATGTTACAATATATTTATACCCTGAACAGGTGATATTAAGTTTCTCCTTCAGTTTTTTGAGATACAGTTTTGAAATTTTGCGCAGATCCTTTTTTCCCCAAGAAGCTGCTAATATATCGGAACTGTTGATTTCGGGCCAGTATAGCATATAGCTGTCACACAAACTGACCGATCTAAATCAAATCCTTGTATGGAAACTTTTTTATTTGTCAAGATACCTTCAGCCGTAATTAACGTTTTTTCTTGTTTTTTCTCCTTTATTAGAAAAATGTCACAATAGATTTTCGAATGATTTAGAGACATTTAATTTCCGCATAGAAAAGCCAACAAAACAAATAAATTTTCCAATTGCTACGTCAAATACAGCATTTACAACTTAAATCAATACAATTTAATAGATCATTACGTTTACAACAAAACCACATGTCCACAATAAGACAACAACACCATTAGCACTACAAAACTACCCATCAGCGCGCTAATTCACAGGCACAACAATGCTTTGACATTGTATTCGAACATTGCAATTTGAAATGCTTCACGGTTTACATTAAATTTTCACTGCTACTTCAAATTCAGTTCAAACGCAAATGGCGCACTTTGTTTGCGCAATAATACCAAATTTGTAAAGTAGCCCCTATTAAATACGATTAATTCGCCCCTTCGCTTGCCGTTTCACAAGCATTGATTTTCAAAACGTAATTAACTGCATTTCGTCGCAAAAATAAATCACAACCAAAAAGGCAAAAACGAAAAAATTACATACATATATATAGACGAGTATTTGAAAAATACGAGCAATTTTTAGCGCTTAAACGAAAATAAAAACCATTTATGGTTAAACTACTGGCGGTAAATAATTATACATAGATTCGTTACACTCATACGCAATTAAGTGGCTTCAAAACTTTTTTCACTAACGAATCTGTAATCGTTAGAGGAATTCAATAATTGCTGTTACACCCACACAATTGGCGCGCGGAATGTAATTGAGTTGAAAATTTCGTGATTTTAATGAAATGGAAAGTTTTTAACACAGTTCGATTGTTGTTGTAGCACTTAAACGGCAAAGTTCACTTGTGTTTTAATATTGCGGCGTGCCAAGAATGCATTTATTAATGGATATGTTTTATTTAATGGGTAAATATTGAAATTAATGAAGCAAAATAATCGATATTTTGTATTGAAAATTTAATACATTTTTAAGTCATTTTAAAAAATAGAAGAATTTTATTTAAATCACACATTTCTGTGTTAATACAGAAATAAATTTCTTTTTTCAAAATTCAAGCAAAATTGCCTAACTATATTAAATATAATCAAGTGACTCTTTTCATTTGATCCCAGATGGTCTCATTGCTAGTTGAGTTATGACAGAAAGCTGTGAATACTCAGGAACTGTGATGTGCGCAAAGCAGTCAAAACTCTGCGCTTAAACTTCTGTTACATAAGGTTAATAAAAATAAATTTATTAAAACAGTTAGTAGTCACTTAGTGCCAAGTTCGGCCTATAAGATGGATGCATAAGGACCTCCCAACCGAGCTACCGGATCTCCCAGTTTCGTCGATTCCGTACTTATAATGTAAGATGTCAAAGATGTACCATGTCCAAAAATATCGATAAAATAATTGCATTATAAACAATAAACCCTTTGTTACCATTTAAATAAGGCTGAATATAAAAAGAAGCTCGATATGTCGACCGGATTTCCAACTGGCTCTAAATGGCTTAATTAAAATTTTTGACCTAAAATAGTTTCATAGTTTTCTTTAATAAAATTCTTTGCACAACATAAAATGCGATTAAAATAACGGTAATATATATTTTCTTCACACATATAACCTAAAAGCATTTCGTTAAACATTTTGCACTTGATTGCAATTGGAATTCGTTTATTTAAATATTTTTATTTCATGCTCAACTTTAGTTTTTCACCTAGCTATGTTCAACAACCCGCGCAGATAATCCGCTGCATATGGGCACCTAATTTTTATGCAATTATTTTTGTAATTTTTGTTTTGTTTTTCTTTTTCCGCTTATTTCAAGCGCCTAATCAATATTTTTACACCTCATAACAGTTTTCACATTGAAGCATACGGAAAAATTTCTCGCAACCCCACACGCCTGCTTATTTTCACTCGTTTTCCAACTTCAATCGCTTGCAAGTTGTTTTACAATATCACAAAGCGCCAAGTGGGAGGCTTGATTGCACCTAATCTCGTTTGTAATGCATGCTCATTACTAAATTCGACGGCATTGTTATCAATTTCCAAGTGACGCCGTTGCCGCGCCAATTAACACCGCCGACATTGCATTGGCAATTGAGCTTAAGCAGCAGGTGCAGCTAGTTCACTGATATTTTTATTATTGTTTGCAACAAAATTTAACATCTCAGGGTGCAACGCGCTAATTACTCGTATGCCAAGTGAATATTACACCTGTGCGCAAGAGCAACAACAATAGCCTTGTTCAGTTGTAAAATGGAAAACTGAAAATCTCCAATGTTTTGTTAACTTGTTCACACCTTCGCAGCTACTTAATTAAACGCTTACCGCCAGTTGCTCCAGAGATAACTGCATTAAGTTGCGCTAACTTTGGTGCAATTGCTGTTGTTGCCTGCACTGCGTCAACTTGTTGCATGCGCCTAATAATTTTGTTAACAGCACATAAGTAAATTGCCATAGATCGATATGTGGCATAAATACAGTCAGGTGCATACTAATAGCAGTGCGAGTTGGGATAGCAATGATAATAGCGATTTCATTTAAAATCCTGTTTTCAGATTGAAATATATGCTTGGCATACAATGGTGGACGGCCTATATATAGAACTTAAGTGGTTATATCTATTTTCAAGAAAAAGAAGGTGACTTTTTAATTCAACTTTTTTTTTAATAAAAAAAAATATAAAACAAAATTTACAGAATTTAATATACTTTAAAAATTGCCGATTTATTTTGAGTAATTTTGGATTGCCTTAATCCCCTGGCCATTCTTCAGGAGGACCTCCGAAAAAGAGTATTTGGCGGTTAAAAAAATGTTTCTGCTTAAAGTTTTCTCATATAAAAAAAGTATTATTCTAGAAGAATCATTTTTCACAAAGTTTTCCCAAAAAAGTCACCATCTTTTTTTCATACCAATAAATTGTTTTTAATTTTTCATGATTCAGGAATGGAAAAAACCCAATTCCTTATTTTTCCCCTTATACGATCGATCTTTGATTTTTAATGGCGATTTTTATATTACTCTGTTCCATCCAATAATTGTGGTATACTATATATATTCGAGTCAGTTCCGTTAACGTAGGCTGTATTGCGACCTCCGCATTCCTAAATAATCACTGCTGTTTTTGTAAACATAACTGTACGTACACAAATGAGTTGCAGTTAGTCCTTTCGTCGTTGCCATAGTTATTTCAGCGAGTTGTCAAAACAAAAGCGCTACTTCAGTCGCTCGCAAGTAATTCGACTTTTGCCTTCTATTTTCGTTTTATCCATTTAATCTCTTTATTAATTTTCACACTTTCGCATTTATCGGTTGTTTGTTGCTTGGCGTTATGTGGTGATTTGTACGCGTTTTTAGATTTTTTAGCGCAAATTTTGTGCATAAACATAAGTTTGCTAATTTCTAAATATAAAATTTGTGCTCAAAACGTTTGTGTTTTTTGTGCAACATCACATGTGTAGATATGTAGAGCTGTAGGCACGCACTTTTCACATAATATTATATTTTTAGGCAATTTGTTACGTTGACGCTCGCATTAAGTAGCGCATTTCCCAGCGCCGTCAGACGTCATCTTCGAAGCGTACGCGCTCGGCTGTGTAAAATGTGAGTTCCCATTATTTGGATTTTTGTGCCTGTCATTTTTAGTCTGTTGCACTTTTTTTTTTGACTGTTTCTAAAGACACATTGCAATGAGTTTTTCATTTGTCGCTATTTGTTGCAGAACTGTGTCAATATTTTTATCGTGGCGTTGCTTGGGCTGCCACGTTTAAAAATACATGCACAAATTTGTGTTTAATGCCTATATTTTTTAATTCTTTCCAATTATTTTTTATTGCAAAATTTTTTACTATTCATTTCCCATTATAGTTCGTTTACTATAATACAGTTCAACAGTGAAACTCTAAATCTCCTCATACTCAAATCAGCGCCCTAAAACCTTCTAATTATTACTATATAGGGTGCTTTCTTTAAGCCTGTGGTTTCCAAGATGAAATAAAACGCATATAGTTTAATGTTATGGCCAAGAATCTAGCATTATTATATAGTTAAGGGTTTGCCGTTATGTTTTGAAAATGATTTAGGATCACGGCCGCGGCTGGCTCGAATAAATTCCAGTATTTCGGGCTTATCTGCCCACAAAAAATAATCCAGCGGTGTTAAATTGCACGATCTTGGAGTCCATGCCACAAAAGTTTCCTACCGTCCGTTTCCGTTCCGTCTTAATGGAACCAAAGGTCGTCCACATCAACATCCCCCAATTCAGGCACGAAAAAGTCATTAATCAAGGCTCTATAGCGTTCCCGATTGACTGTAACTTTATGGCCAACTTTACTTTTAAAGAACTATGGATCAATGATTTCCTCTGCCAATTTCATAGAAACCTTCGTCCCTATTGTCAGAAACAGAAACAAAAATCAGTCGATTTCCAGAAGCTTCTCTAGAATTTTTCACCAGCATTCACCGTAGACAGAAACAATTAGTAATCACTTGTTTTCAGGTCCGGACTATAGGGTAGAAGCATAAGAACCTCCAAACTAAGCTCCCAGAGCTTCTGGCGAATCACTGTCAACGTGTGTTACCTGGCCGTTGTCCTAATGGAACACAATACCTCTCCTATTGGTTAAAGCTGGCTGCTTTTGGGCAATTGCTTCTTTCAGACGGGCCAACTGTTGACAATACAACTCCAAATTAAGAGTTTGGCCGTAGGGGAGTAGCTCATAGTAGATGATTCCCTTTCAATACCACCAAACACATAGCAAACCTTGCTGACCGTCGACACGACAGACTTTTCTTCACCAGAAATGCTTGGATTTTGTTGTGATTCCTCAGTCAGAATCTTTTCTTAAATCGAATAAATAGGGTCAGTAAAATTTTTCATCGCTTCTACACGCATTCGCTATACATCATTTCGCTTATATACATCAACATTCACATACATACCTGATTCGACAAGGTAGCGATCTTACGCGCAACTGTTCGTTGACAACTATTGGACACCGATACCTCCTGATTCTGATCGCTATCATCCGAAAGTCGTTTCGCGGAATTGAATTCTCAACGCTCCCCTCGTCTACATCATATTATTATTTTACATAAGCATTAATATTATATTTTAAATAAACTTGTGGCTTAACCGAAATGGTCAACATAATAATTATATACTAGGTTCAACGGAAACTTTTATTTTAAAATTTGAATAAAATAAGAAAGGTGTGTGCTTCCCGATAAATTTGTTATGCAAATAAACAAAGAGAATTCATATTATATTTCGCTGACGAATTCATGTAAAATATTGTGATACATGAGCTCTGAAACCAATTGCGGTTGCTTATGTATTTTATAATATCCACATCGTTCATTGATATAATTTATATTGACGCCTTCTATTTTCTCTCTAAGAACTTAGTCATATAAAATCGTAAAAATAAGGGTGTACGTTGGAAAAGAAAACATCTTTTCACTAGCCGACTAAGAACTAATATTACTAAGAATAGTTTATCAACTGATCTCAAACAGACATAACCTAAAAACAAAATGACTTGAGACTTGTATTTCATAAGAAAAATGTTTTATCCAAATTTACCAATTCTTTGTTCTCCCCTTTTATGGTGCTCTATTTGCTTTTTGTTGCTTTTTTACGTTGACCAGCTGCCCCTCTGACTGCAAAGTTCATAGCGAGTTGTAAATAAATCATTTCGAAATTCGTTCATTAATTTACACACAGCAAACGTTCACCAACGTATTTTTAGGTGACTCTCTCTCTTTGAGTTTGCAGCTTTTCTCTTCATTTTTTTTTGTTTTTTGTTTTTGCAAACATATCCATTAACAACTACACGACAGCGCTCCAACTTGCTCCTACCCCATTCGCCCCATTTTCGGCACAGGTGAATCTCGCCGGCGTTGTGGCGAAAATAAATGCAACAACAACAAGTGCAACAGAGAGAGTAAAACAAAAATAAAATATATCGCCTATAAAATAATATTGCTGATGCATGCAACTGTAGGCTATTTTGCACGGCTTTACAACAACTCAGCGCTAGGAGCAAGTGACTCATTGCGTGAGGCGCGCGCCTGAGCTGGCGCTACTTTAGTTATTTTAGAACTAAAAACGTGAACGTACGTACTAGAAAAAAATCGCAATAAACATTTAAAGGAGTCCCGTTTGTTTATCGCAACAGTGCTTTTTATAGTCGGCGAAAATAAGGGCAAAAGAAGTTTTGGCGGCAATTCAAATTTCGGAACTTTTGGTGGCCTCATTTGATGTTTCGCAGAGGATTTGCTTTAATCTTGCTGCTACCACTTTTTTCTAATATTTTTCTTTTTATACTCTGGATAGCGTATATTAAATTTGCCACGAAATTTGTAACACCCAGAAGGAAACGTCGCAGATCCTATAAAGTATACATATACATATGTATATAAGTGATCAGTGGCATGAGCTGTGTCGATTTAGGCATGTTCGTCGATACATACGCGAACTAGTTGCTCAGTTCTTGAGATATCGAATTGAAATTTCTCACACGTTCTTTTCTTCCCAAGAAACTGTTCATGAGTCGCAAACTGAGCGATCACAATCAAGTCCTTGTGGTTGGAAAACTGTTTTATTTGACCAGTTATCTTCACGAAGTTTGGCATAGATTATTGTCCAAGGCAATGCCATAATCTTCGAACATATTGTTCAGATCGAACCACTATATCATATAGCTGCCTTACAAACTGGGTGATCAAAATCAAGTTCCTGTATGGAAATTGTTTTTATTTGACAAATTATCTTTACGTAATTCGGTATAAATTATTGTACAAGAGTAGGGTTCCAATCTCCGAACATATTGTTCAGATCGGACCACTATAGCATATAGCTGTCATACAAATTTAGTGATCAAAACCAAGTCATTGTATGGACAGCTTTTTTATATGGCAAGATATCTTCACTACATTTGGCAATCTTTGAAAAAATAACTAAGAGCGGACCATTATAGCATAAGCTAACGTTTGTTCTTGTTTCTAATATATAATATATTTTTTCACTATAATTCCTCAACGTATCTTGCATGCGCATGGCTTTTGATGTGTGAATAAAACTTGGAACGGTGTGTCTATGTGTGTGTTTGAGTATGTGCATGCCTGTAGGTCTGAAACTTTTATGACTTGCAACGAGTCATCAGCATAATAATAAACAAAAAATTCACATTAAAAAAATATATACAAATTGATTAATAAATTTTAACACGAAACGCTGCAGGAAAAGGGTTTGTCAGCGTGACGTCTTTTTGTTTAGATAGCAGCGCGCTTATCAGCATAACCCGGAACGGACGTCGATAATATGGATATATAAACGCTACCAATATGATTAAACAAATTCAAAACCAAAGAAGACTGAACAAAAAATAAATAAAACAAAGATAAAATAAATAGAGCACTGATAATGTAAAACGTAAAAAAAAACAAACAACAACAATACAATATACTTAAATCACACAAAAAAAAAAAAAAAAAAACTAAAAAAACGTATACAAATATTTCAAAGAAGTATACTACAAATATAAAACTCAAAAATACTTGTGCCATCTATGGACTACAACAACGTAATGTGCCAAAACGTATTACATAAATACAAAACTACAACAACCAAAAAAGTAAAAAGTAACGAAACCAAAGATCTTTAACCAAAATTAGAATATAACACCAAAACGAACAAAAAAAATTAAACATAAAAAAAAAATATTTAAAAAAAGAAAAAGTAGACAAAATTCACCAAAAATGTCGGGCATATTTCGTACGCATTCATTGAACAGCACCAGTCACTCAACGCCGCAGAAACGCTACTCCTTTGGCGCTTTTTGGTAAGCACAACTTCGCACTCTCTGCTAAACTGTTAAATACTGTACTAAAAATACATTTTCCTTATGTACTAACTTGTTTATGGCCATTTCCGTAGCATTTTGTACACCCATAAAATGCATGCGTTGCCACTTTTTCAACGAAGCAATAAAATATTAGGGGGAAATTAATCAAGCATTGGCTAGAACTTTTGCACTTAAAATGTTATCGAAAAATACATGTAACGGAAGTATATATTTTTTATATTTATGAATATTTTTATGAAACCAAATGATGTGTTAATCAATTAAGTAATAAAATAGTTATAAAAAATTGTTTAATGTCATTTTCGTACAATAATAAAAATTATAAAGGAATAACCATATATGTACGTCTTCAAATTTTGTAAATGTAAAAAAAAAGTTGTTACATGCCGTTTTTGAAATTGTAGAAAATAATTTAAACCAAATATTTCGAGTTGTCCCCAAATAAACAGCAATTCAAACATTTTAAGAGGTTATATCCACTTTGAAGTCAGAAAAAACGCAATTTTCGTTAATTTGGTTGTAGTTTCCCAAGATCCCGTAACCGAACTCCAGGAGGGTCTACGAAAAAGCATGATTGGCCGAGATTCTTCTGCTTAAAATAATAAAATTTTTATTTATTTATTTTTTCTTTTATGTGTTTTTAAATTTTTTGTTTTTCAATTTTCATTTATTATTAATTTTTCTTTTATTTTTGTTTATTTATTTTTTTCTTTTTAAGTCAGTATGACATTACTCGGATCAAAGTGATAGCATCGGTCCGTTAATTTCGTGTATTTTATTGCATAAATTCCTAAAAATCTTATTAAAATATTGAAGTTAAAATAATAGTATTCTATTTTTTTTATTTTAGTTGTTTTTTTCGTTCTATTTATTTTTTTTAAGTATTTTAATTTTTTTTCAATTTTGTTCTATTTGAAATTTCATTTTTATTCGTTAATTTTCTTTTCAAATCGACATAAGATTACTTGAATCAAAGTGATACTGTCTCATCGGTCCGTTAATTATTTTCGTGTATTTTATTGCATAAATTCCTAAAAGAATTTTTCCAGAAATTGTATATTATTTAGATAAAATATTAAGAAAAAAATATACACATACAATACAACTTGCAAAAAAAATTAATTAACTTTTAAAATTTATAAACAAACATTGCTCCTATAAAAATATCCATGCATTTTATTGCATAAAGTCTTGAAAGAAATTTTTTTAAGGAATAAATTATTTAGAATTATTTAGAAAAAAAAAATAATAATAATAAATCTTGGAAAAAAACTTTGAAAAGAAAATATCTTCCAAAATTAAATTAAATTTTGGAGAAAAATAGTTTAGAATTCATTAGAAAAAATTTCTATTAAAACTTGGAAAAAAAATAGAACTTTATTATTAATCATCGCTCCTATAAAATTTTTCATGTATTTTATTGCCTAAATCTTAAAAGATATTTTTTAGGAAAAAATTTATTAGAATTATTATTTAGAAATAAATAATATATAATAAATGATGAAAACAAATGAAAATAAAAAAATTCAAAATAAATAATTACAATTATATTCAATATTAGATTATCTCAGTACCCGCATCACAGAATATATCATGCCCTACAATATTTTCTACCAAGCATTTTATTGCACAAAACCCGCTGAACTAATTTTTATGCATTTTTTGACAAAAAATAATCTTTATTAATAATTTCTATTGATTTGCAAATCATGTACAAATTGTCTGTTTTAACAACACAATAAAAGTAGGAAAAGGAACTGCCTTAACTTGAAATGCACTTTTAACGGTTTATTGCATAGTAAAAGCAACTGCAGTTTGCCCTACTTGCCCATGGCTGTTTTTGTGAATACAAACATATGTAAGTATATATCTGTGTATATAGATGCAGTAAGTTGCCATAAACCACAAAGTAACTCCTTATTGGTGCAATACGCGTGCGGGGCAACACGTGCGCACTTTTTTCTTGTGGCACTCGCAATGCTTTCACATTCGAACATACGCTCATTGACACACGTATGTGTATATGTGGGTGTGCGAGACATTTCTTGCGCCCACTTCACCTTTCATTGAATCATAATAACTTTATAAATAGTTGTTTTTCTGGTTAAACTCAATCTTTCCTTTGTGAAGCCATAAAAATTATATAAACTAAGTGAACAATCGTGCATTTTTGATCAAAAGAAGTGAAAAGAAATGTAAGAAGAAAATTATATCTCCACAACATCCTCCTTTGTGTGACTTGCAGCACCACCACCACCCTTTCCCATGTGCCTGTAGTGGATCTATTGAGTGGGATAGGGATAGAATTTTACATATTCTATGTATTCATCATATTATGTATATATTGTACATTTGTATTATGATCGGTCGCGCATGTTTTCTTCACTTCTTTAATAATTATTTTCTTTAGATTATAATAAATGGCTTCAAAGTGCATAAAAATGTCTTTAATTTATCTCAAATACTCTTAAACAGCGCTCGACCGTCTTTATCACTTTATTGTAATATTGTTATATGTGTTCGTTGTTTTTTTTTTTGCTAAAAATACTTACAAGTATCTCGCGGGTCTTTGTGCTGCGGATAATGCAATAATTTGCAAATAAATAACTACACATATATTGTAGTTATGAGTATAAAAGGTGTGTAATTTCGACATAAATATTGTTTGGTAACACTTAAAAATTCTAAAAAAAAAATGCAGTATTATTGCTTAAGGATCTATATGTTTGGAGCTTAATAAATATGCTGAGTTTTCTGAGGATTTTATGTCGACAAAGTAATGAATGTTGTTGATATCAATAGGTTAGGTTAGGTTATACTGGCCGGTAATATCTATAAACATTTCAACAAATTTGTAACAGACACTAAGCGCTTTGTCGATCTATGAGCGTCTTGATGGTGAATACTTAGAAGTTTCATGTAACACAACGGACCTTATTTTTAGCTTTTCAAGTAAGATTCTTATTGACTTTTGTCACGGCATCACCCTTTTTAATATAATAAAACCTATCTAATATTCCCATACCTCATCGACGCTTTCTCGCTCCTCAGCGACTTTAAAATCAACTTTTACACCCTTTAACTACCACTAACAGAATCGTTAATCGTTTAATATAGATGATGTTTTCATGTTTAGTGTGGGATCCCATTACAATTCTCAAAGTATAATCCTTTCTAAAGAAGTGCCTTTAGTTCTATCTCATTTAATTTGGAATACTCAAATAGACAAATACATACATATGTATATCTGGTATTGAACAATGTGAGAACAAAATCTGTCTCTTTTGAAGTCGAACAGTCAAAACATTAGCGACTAGGTTCCCAAGGATATGTAATATTCACAACTTTAAAGTTCTGAACCAACATTGGAACCTTTATCAATTGAAATATACCATCGAAGTATTCTTGATAACAAGTTCTGTTTTGTACTCAGTAGGCTCTTCAAAAGTTAAATACTCTCGATAAAGTAAAATAAATAAATACCAAAATTAAAAATATCATTTATGGTGCAAAATAATGGACGGTGTCAAAATCAGAAGAAATTCAACTAATACATATATTTTGAAACGAAAAAATAATTTTCAAAATTCCACAAAAAAAGTATCAACATTCATCAACGTATCATCATCAGACGGCATATGTCATGAAATCTGCAACGCTGGTTGGACCAAAGAAATATTTGATCAAATAAATTGCTCCAACCGCTCCTGTTCTGAAGTCGGAACAGTACTTGAAAAAAGTCTATTTGGATTTGGTTGGTTCAGGTTGAGATTGTGGAAATAAAATTGTCAATTGAATTTCTCTACCGAAACAATAATATTGAATAGAATATAAGAGAACAACAAGTGCATTGCATTGTTAAGGGTTACATATTCTTAAATTGGGAGGCCAACATATTGTTTAGATCTCGATATTTTCAATTGTCAATTGTTTTCGTCGGAACTCAACTATGTCCAACTTAACCTTAAAATTTGAAGACTTACGTAAATTCAAATGCTTTAATATTCCTAATCTTTTTTAGTTTCCCGAAAGTGATCTTTTATTAAATCAATTATTGAAGCATGATATTTATTGTGTTCTAAACTCCATAGACAACCGCACCAAGTACACTTCTTATAGAAAATCGTTTTTGAAAACTTCTACTGGAACCAAAAAATTACACAAAGAATCAATCAGTGTTGTTTATAAATGAAAACACATATACAAATTAAAACAAATAAATTTAAACTGATGCCGTAAGTATGTTTTAAATTATGTAAACTGTCAGTTTTGTTTTGCATTGAGTAATTCGCCTTTCAAACGAAATTTGTAGCATAGTTAAATCCTTGATATAGACAACCGCAATGCTTTTGATGCATTCATGTTACCACATCAAAGTAAAAGCTGAAGTAATAATGCATTTCCTACATAAATATTTGATGCAATTTATTGGGTCACTAGTTTGCTTTGGTAAAAGTTCGAACTAATCAATGTGGCCATAAAGTGCGGTGGAACATCACTTAACGCTCAAAAAATGCAATTGCAAAGAAATATGCTGCACTTGTTGCAAGCATAACATAAAATGCAATGTAAACAAAAGCGGAAAAAACATTGGAAAAAAAATTTTTAGAAAATTTTAAAAATTAGAAAAAAAAATTTAAAAAATTCTGAAAAAAAAATTTAAAAAATTCTGAAAAAAAAATTTAATTTTGAAAAAAAAACCAATACAAACAAAAATAATGTTTAATTTTGAAAAAAAAAAATTTTAAAATCCAAACAAAAAAAATTTTTGATTAAAAAAAAAAAAACCAAAGAAATAAAGCAAAATCTCTACACAAACCACCAATCGTTGCCGTTTGCCCCCTGCCGTTTAGCCAATTTATTTGCTAGCGATTTATTCATTTGATAGGTACATATGTATACAACATGTGTGCATGTTCAATTTGATTGTATACACAATATTATTGGCTCATCATAGTGCGCTTGCAGCAGGGCAT